GCGGCTTGGGGGCGGCGACGGCTGGCGATGTGGGAGGAGGGGGCCGGGGCGGCTGCATATAAAGGGGCACCGGGGGTCTGACTTGGGCAAGGGGGCGCGGGGCGGCGACGATGATCCGGACCCCTCGCCGGAGTCCGGCGGGGACACGGGCGTGGCGCCAGGCGGCGGGGTACTGGGCCGAGGCCTGGCTCCCAGCGGGGCCGGCCCAGTTTGGCGCACGACTTTTAAAAAAATCCGCTGAAGAAAAATCTTAAATAAATATAAAAAAATTCTAAAAATGCCAAAAATAATTTTCGCCGTCTAAATAAAATATTTAGAACGAGGGGAACATTTTTCTGGCCTAATTATGCAGTTTTGAAAAATGCATATTTTTCTAATTCAAATAAAATTGCGATAAAATTCGAAATAAAATATTTATCTAATTTTAATATTTTTTCTCCAATATTCCTCTGAGATTTTGGAAAAGTCATTTTATTTCCTCTCATTATTTTAGTATTGGAAATATTTCGGAGAGAAAAATTATTAAAATCAAAATGATCCTCTTTTCAAATTTGAGAAAATTCGAACATGAAAATAAATGAAATCTCCAACTCTCTTCTTGGGTCATTGAGTTGCTTAAGATTTCTAGGCTCGCAACCAAAATGCAAATAAAATATGATATGCATATGATGATCTATGTATAACATCCAAACTGAAAAATTAGGATGTTACAGGCCCATGCGGAGCAAGATGACATTCCAAACAGTGTGGGAAAGAAGGGTTGGGCCGTAGGCCTGGTCAGGCGGAGATGCGTGACCAGGTGTTCTTGCCTGATCGATCGAACCGGTACCGGCCGTTTCACTTTGCAGTGACACCCTCGGTGTAATTATCGACAACTCTAATTTCCCAGTTTTCGCGGAGTTTGAGTTTGCCAACTCCGTAACTCAAGCAAATTTGTATGTACCGAATCGCCAGCTTATTTCCCTCAAAGCCAAGAGTTGGAGCGTTCGGGTGAGATCTGGACCTGGAGTTGATGGAGTTGAGAGTTGGAGGGCTCCCGAACATGCTCTTAATTAATGCATGGGAGGAGTTTTTTTTTTTAAAAATGTTCATGATTTGTGATGCGAATTTGTAATGTGAGAATGTCCATAAATTTGTAACAATGTGACAATGATCATTACTTGTAAAAATTAGCAGCCTTTTACGTATTCAATTATGCCCCATTATAGGCTTTAGGCTATTAAAGAATCGTTAGTCTTACTATTTCTAAATATACCCTCTTTAAATCCTGGGCCCGCCCCTGCACTCAATACTAAGAGTAAGAAATTTCCTGTAAAAGATTGAAACAACAATTGGTTGCCCTCATCCTCCATCATATCTTTATCTACAAAAGGCAAAATCTCTTTACAGCGCGCGCATCTCCTTGGACAAAGTAGATACACACAAGAAAATGGAGATAAGTAGTGTAATCCTAGAACCAAATCTATCAACAATTTAGTGATGACTTAATTAATCTCGTTCACTGCCACTAATCAATGAAGTCAAGTCAAGCAAAGGCCCAGCCACGGCAACAATGCGGGTGATGGCCAATGCCGTGGCCCGTGGAAGCTGCGATCAGCTGAGGTGCGGGAACGCGAGGTCCCTGGCGAGCAGGTACCGGAAGCTCTGCCTGTGCGGCGCCCATTCCACCACCGCCTTGCTCGCCGTCGTCCCCTGATGCTGCTGCTGCTGCGGCCGGCACCGCTGCACCGCTGCCCGCACACTCTCCGGCAGGCACCGCTGCGCCGCGTCGAGGAGCCGCTCCGGCGAGAGGCCGACGTCCCTGGCGTAGGCCTCCACCAGCTTGGGAAGCAGCACCCTGCCGCGGCGGTGCTGATGGTCCGGCGGGCGGACCCCCACCGTGGCGCGGATGTACTCCTCCTTGGCCGCCTCGAGCTGCTGGAACAGCCGCTTCGGCGTGTACACCCTCACCTGCATGCCCGTCGCGCCTTGCATGGATCAGTAATCTACTGCTGGACTGCTGGTTGGTACTCCCTCCGTTCCGAATTACTTGTCTTAGATTTGTCTAGATACGGCGAGGAGCCGCTCCGGCGAGGAGTCGCTCTAGAACTAGATACCTCCGTATCTAGACAAATCTAAAACAAGTAATTCGGAATGGAGGGAGTATTTACTTTGGCCAACAAAAGAAAAGATGCAGCAACATTCCATGGAGAAAGAAAAAGGGGTGTCAAGTTAAGTTTTGTTTCATCATTGTGTTGTGTCATGCCGTGGTGCATTTAGCTTTATCACTTTGGGAAACATTTGTTCCACTCCAATTTACTCTACTAGGGTTATACTCCTCATGTTTCCTCTACATCCAATTAGTCAAAAGAAAGTCTCGCGACAGTGTTATGTCTCGATGCTAAGAGTGTTCCGTCTTTTGGGAGCATCTTTTCGGAAATCTGAAAATTTCTGGTGCGTGCTAGAGTCTAGAGTAGTTCATATCATACCGCGGGATCGGAGTGGCTCCCGGAGCAAAGCGCGAAGCGCAGGAGAGGCTCGGACCGATGGATGGCAAAGGCTTGCCATTGCCCCCCTGCTTTGCTCCCTCTGCTTTTCATCCTTGGCTGCAGCAAAGTCCTCAGCCACTGCATGCGCCGGCCAAAGTGTTACAATCAGAATTTGTCCATACATTTAATCAAGTATTGCAGGAACATTCTACTCGATCTGCGCCATGCTTTCTTGACCAAATGATGCAGCATTGGAGATACTACCACTCGATAAGCAGCACCATGCCTTCTTGACCAAATGATGCAACATAGCCATACATGGTTTGGGAGTACATACCTGTCCAGGACAGTGGGTGCTGCATCCGAGGACCAGCCCCTGGATGGCCGCCGCGTTGATGCTGCGCCCGGCGATCTTGCACTCGGCCTGGGCAAAAGGGAATTTCCTCTGTCAGTGTCACATCCCAAGAAAGCAGCAAGAAGAAGAACGGCGCTTGCTTTCTTGATTCAGCTGTCCCACCTTACCTTGACAAGAAGTGATGTCTTCTTCAGATGGTTCTGCGGGATGCCATGCTTGAGGTAAGCCTGTGGGAGTTTGTGCCAACGCTTCATCATTTCACTCATTCAGACAAATATATACTGTATCTATGTGAGTAGTATGGACTGGACCAGGGAGCAAGCAAGCATTACATGCATCAACAATGCGTTGTGTATGTTGATCCAGAAGGCGAGCTTCTCCTCGTTCGCCATCCTCCGGAGGTCGACGCTCTCCAACCGATGAAGAATTAACCTGAAAACGTCAAACCTATCAGTGCTCATTCACAACTGCTCATACCACATTAGTAGCACTGAACAATAGAACACAAGAATTTTCGTACATTTCCCTATTTGGACAAGAACGTTTGGAGAGTACGAAAATAAAATGCAGGAGCAGCTCACTTGTAAGTTTGGAGCAAATCTTCGACTTCTCTAAGCCTCGGGCGGTCGCGGGAAATCGACGGGACCTCAACCATTGTGTTGTACGGTCCACTGAACTCCTTGAGCCCCTCGACGTGGAACGGGTTGATCAGCCGCGAGTCCAGAGTGGCTTCTCTCCTGCAATTGGGGCTCCACATGTCCCCAAGGTACTGTGGGGAGACCACACTCGTCGTCGATGAGAGCGACGACGTCGGCGACGACGATGCACGGTGGTGAACCAGAGGTGGATCTGCGAGCTTGCAGTACACCCCTGCCATGCACCTCACCATCTCCTCAGAAAGGTTGTTTGGAGTTTCAGGGATGTGGTCAGCCACATTAGTCCCCAGATAGTCAGCCAGGCTTACCACTCCTGATGTAGTAGCAGCCTCTCCTTCCTGCGAAATAACATAATAATGTCAGTCAGGTTAGCTGATAAGTAACAGAATTTAAAATCTTGCAACAGTTTGCAGCAGTAACATCAACCATTTTGAATTTGAATGTTGCCGTTGCAGCACATTTATTCTAATTTCAGTGAAGTTTCTGTTACTAGTAGTATGTTGTGTCTGAACTTCAACATGAAACTGTCTGAAGCCAACTGTGGAATTGGAAAATTCAGATGGGTCACCTCCAAGAAGGAGAAAGGTTGAGAGTGGCAGGAGCGAAGAGCTCTCGCCAGGCTCTCCTCCGACGGCGATATCCTCGACGAGCACACGCCGCGGAACGACAGCGCGGACTGGCTGCGCAGGCCATGATCAGAGTCCATGGCCTTGGTTGGGCATGTGGACGGAGAGCAGTCCTCCATCATCGTGCCATTCCTCCTCTTGCTAAGGGGAGGGCAGCTGTAATGGAGCATCGCATCGCCACCTCTTCCGGCGGTGGCCTTTGGCTTGGGCGTTTCCTCCATCTGCGCAGACCGTGAGCTCACTGACGGCTTTGGCGGCGCCGGCTCCTCCTGACGGACGACAAGTGAGGATGGCACCGTGGGCGCTTGCTCAAATGCCTTCCTGTACAGTGTTAGGAGGTACTGCTCCAGGTGCTTGATCTCCAGTTCCAATGTGGCAACCTCCCTTATCAGCTGGTTAGTGGGCTGCCAAAAGAAAACATCAGTTTCAGTTTCATCTGATGAACACATACTACTATTAATGAATGAACAGATGGTGTTAAAATGAAAGATAGATTTCCTGGTAAAACTGTAAGTCTCACCTGGAGGATTGGGCTCTCATTGGACAGAGTGAGCGGAGCAGGGTTGGGACCCAACGCTTTCTCCAGTGCGCCGCGCACCGTTTGCTGATCGTCAAGGTGCCTCTCCAGCTGCACAATCTGCGTCAGAGCATCGTCATCTCATTAGACCAAAATGATGCTGAGTGCGGTTCGGCATCCGGAGATGAAAATGTTGTGGCAATTCTTTCAAGATTCAGTCTCTGATTTCTTCTGCCTGTGAGCTAACAACAGCAAAAAAAAAAAGATGATGCTTGCCTCTTTTCTGAGTGAGTCTTGCGTGTCAGTCTTGGGCTGGATTCCCTTGTTGGTTTCGCTCTGCAGATGAGAGTTTGAGTTTCTGCCATTCTAGAAGACACCACAAAAAAAGGGAAAATCTCAAATCTACAGAGAAGCAGTGGCACTATATGGAGCACAAGAAAAAGGACAAAAACTTACCAACTTTGGCTGATTATGAGACGCTTTCTGCGAAGAATGCAGCGCATCGTTGGCATTTTTCTCCTCCAAATCACTGCCATTACAAAGCATAAAAACATTTTGATGAGCACTAACTTATAAGCATCAATCAAGATGAGAAAAGGAAGAGGGAAATTTGCAGAGGAGAAGATGATGATGTTTCCAACCTCTTGGAACGCTTGTGCCTGGATGGGGCATTGTAGTTGTAGGAGGGCTTGAGTGGTTTGGCTTTGGCCAAGGAGCTGTGGCTTTTCTTCTCCAGTGCCTCCATCTCTCTCATTCTCCACAAACTGTCTTGAAACCAACCAAATCAGAAGATGGAAACCATGGCAGGTGATCAAGAACCAAACAAGATTGCGCCAACACACAGGGAGAGAGAAATGCAACGAAGAATACAAAAGAAAGAAAAGAGAGAGAGCTCACACAATTTAGCTGGTGGAGTGCTCGGAATTGATTTAAGGGTTGGGCAGTGGAGCAGAGGTGGGAGAAAGTGACTTGAAGGCTGGAGCAGTGAAGCGGGAGAGTGGGGGAGAGAGGCCAATGATGCAAGCGAGCAGAATGGTGGCTTCAGAAAGGCACACTAGGCTCCAAGAAGCTCTGCCCTGCCCTGCCCTGCACATACATAGCCACCGGTGCCATCTACCCACCAGCACCTACTCCTCTGGTCAAAGTAACTACTGGTAGTGGACATTTTTCTTTTTTGTTTTCAACAGAAACAGATAGAGATAGTGGACATTTTGCAAATCCTCATTATCCGCAGAGCAGAAACCACCCCCAGTTATCCAAACGCAACAACATCACCATTGGCCGATTAGCATGTGTGTTGCCTGCAACTGCAAAAAGGAACTGGATAAAGATCACAAAACAGACGGCTCTTTTTTCCTTTGCCTTTCTCTTCTTAATTTATGCTGCACCTTTTTAACTCGACTAGGCAGAGGGAAAAAAAATAGTTTTCATTCATTTTTATTTTTATGTCTACCCTGACCATGGGCAGTACGTCACTAATTTCATGTGGTGACTGTGAAGCGGGGAGATTCTAGGATTAGATTAATGGAAGTACTCCTATCTTGTCTTGCTAATAAGCCAATGCTTGCTGACAAATGCCAACGCAAGCCTCTCGCTTTTCTTGCTCCAAGATTTCAACCATATAAAAATGGAGCAGGCCCCCAAACCAATGGGCACATGAAGCAATGCCGCATTAATGCAGCACGTCCTTAATTAAGCAGTGCCTGTACTGTACGTACTACATTTAGGACTAATAGTACTTATGTCTCTGCTTAACCCTGGCGCACAGTTTCAATTGCAGTGTGTGTAGGTTTTCCAAGATGTGACAGTCAAGAGAAGAACACATTTCAAAATCTCTGTGCTGCCCCTTTCACATGGAGATCGCTGTGGCATTGATGGACAAGTGAACAGCAGAGTGTGATATGATGATATGAGTGCAAGGGATCTGCTACGACATTTATAGCAACTGCAGGATGATGCTACTGTAGGATCTTTGACTGTGGCATTTACTAACCAGCCTAACCACCACATACACATACACTTGACAGGTTTGAGTTGGAGAGTAAACTTGCTCTCTTGTGTTGATTAATCACACATACATCAGTGTTACATATATACACCCTATGGACAAGGCACGCAGCCGGGGTAGTCAGTTCAGATCCTACAAACTAGGAGGCGACGTGCGCACTACATACATACATGTTAACACCCCCCTCGGCTGGAACGCCGTTTGGGAGGACGTTCAAGCTGGATCGAAACTCAGTGAAGACCTGTGAAGGAAGCCCCTTGGTGAACAAGTCTGCAAACTGAGAACTGGACGGAACATGGAGAACCCGCACTTCGCCGAGTGCCACGCGATCACGGACGAAGTGAAGATCAATCTCTATATGTTTAGTGCGCTGATGCTGAACTGGATTAGATGAGAGGTAAGATGCACTGATGTTGTCACAATATACAATGGTGGCTCGAGAAGGGGGGCGCCGTAGTTCGTGGAGAAGCTGACGGACCCAACAAGATTCGGCAACGCAGTTTGCAACGCCACGGTATTCAGCCTCGGCGCTGGAGCGGGAAATGGTCGGCTGGCGTTTGGAGGACCAGGAGATCAAGCTGTTGCCGAGAAAGACACAGAACCCCGACGTGGATTTTCTCGTATCAGGGTAACCCGCCCAATCGGCGTCGGTATAGGCCATGAGATCGAGAGAGGAGGACTTGTAGAGCTGAAGTCCAAAGTGGGTGGTACCCCGGAGATAGCGAAGAACACGCTTGATTAGTTGCATGTGAGTATCCCTTGGTTGATGCATGAAAAGGCAAATCTGTTGCACCGCATATGATATGTCCGGACGGGTTAGGGTGAGGTATTGCAAGGCACCGGCAATGCTGCGATAGGTGGTTGGGTTGGAAAGGAGGCGGCCATCGGTAGAAGAGAGTTTGGCGGTGGTGTCAATTGGGGTGGACACAGGTTTGCAGTTGAGCATATGGGCGCAATCCAAAACCTCTAATGTATATTGTTGCTGACTCAAGAAGAGACCGGATCGGTTGGGTGTGACAATAATGCCGAGGAAGTGATGAAGCTCGCCGAGGTCTGTCATGGAAAATTCGGCTTTGAGGGAGTGGATGATGGAGTGAAGAACATGCGGTGTGCTTGCGGTGAGAATTATGTCATCAACGTAGACGAGTAGATAAGCAATGGAGGACCCGTGAGACATAATGAAGAGTGAGGAGTCGCTTTTGGATGCATGAAAACCAAGGGATAAGAGGAAATACTTGAAGCGATGAAACCACGAGCGGGGGGCTTGTTTCAAGCCGTAGAGAGACTTACGGAGGAGACAAACATGATCCGGGTGAGAGGGGTCGATGAAGCCGGATGGTTGTGCACAATAGACTGTCTCCTTGAGTTCACCATGAAGAAATGCGTTCTTAACATCAAGTTGATGTATGGGCCAAGAACCAGAGGTGGTGAGGCTGAGAACCACACGGATCGTGGCCGGTTTCACCACTGGGCTGAAAGTCTCCTTGTAGTCCATGCCTTCCTTTTGAGTGAAACCCCGAACAACCCACCAAGCTTTGTACCGCGCCAAGGAGCTGTCAGGATTGAACTTGTGGCGGTATATCCATTTGCCAGTGACCACATTAACACCTGCAGGTTTGGGAACCAAATACCAAGTCGAGTTCTTGATTAAAGCGTTAAATTCATCTTGCATTGCATGTAGCCAATGAGGGTCTTGGAGGGCTGAGCGATATGTGGCAGGGATGGGTGAGATGGGGGAAGCCGTTTGGGTGGCGAGGAAGAGGCGCTTCGGTTGACAGAAGCCAGATTTGGCGCGTGTGCGCATTTTATGCGCGTTGAGAGGGGGCTGAATCGATATTGCATGGGGAGGATGATGTGGCGGGGTGTGGTAGGTTGGGTTGGATCCGCGTGATCCGAGGGGGATCCGATAAGAGGAGAATTGGACGAGGTGGACGCATGATTCGAGGTAGATTGGTTGACAGGATTGTGGTCGGAGGTACTGCGCTGCGGGGCAGCAGGTGGGGACGACGCGGGAGGCGAGGAAGATTCAGTCGAGCTGGTGGAGCGCGTGGGGGTGGAGCGCGTGGAGCGGGTGGATTGGGTGGCCGGTGTGCGGGGCGACGGGATTGGCGGATCGCTTGGTGTGGCAGGTGTGCATGGGTGGCGGGGCCCAGCTGGTGCATGGGGATCGGGAAGACGCGGCTGGAGCGAGATTTGGTGGTTGGGATCGTTTGTGGCTGGTGGGAAGCTGGTTGGTGGTGTGGGAGAGATGTAGGGGAAAATGTTCTCATCGAAAACAACGTGACGTGAAACGATGACGCGACGCGATTCTAAGTTGTAGCAGCGGTAGCCTTTGTGCTCGAGTGGGTAGCCTAAGAAGACGCAACGAGTAGACCGGGGGCAAGTTTGTGGGAAGATGTGGCGTATAGGTTAGGGAAACAAAGGCAACCGAAAACTCGAAGGTGGTCGTAGGTGGGGTGGATGCCGTGGAGGCGATAGTAAGGTGTATGGCCATGAATGGCACGTGAGGGGCAGAGATTGAGGAGGTATGTGGCCGTGTGAAGGGCCTCCACCCAAAACGACAGGGTGAGGTTGGCTTGGAAGATGAGGGTACGCACGACGTCATTTGTAGTGCGGAGGAGTCGTTCGGCCTTGCCATTTTGAGGGGAGGTGTGTGGGCACGAGAAACGGTAGGAAATGCCATGGGAAGAGAAGAAGGAACGAAGGGTGGAGTTAATGAACTCACCACCGTTATCGCATTGGAGGGCCTTGATGACAACATTGTATTGGGTGCGTACATGAGCAAAGAAACGTTGGAGGGTAATGGACGTGTCCGATTTGCGCCGTAATGGAAATGACCAAGAGAAGTGAGAATAATCGTCAAGGACAACCAAGTAATATTCATAGCCAGAAAAACTCACGACCGGAGAGGTCCACAGATCACAATGAATGAGTTCGAAAGGAGCATTGGTGCGGCTAGTAGAGGAGAAGAAAGGTAGGTGAGGTTGGTGCCCTAATTGGCAAGCATTACAAGGGCCGGTGTATGGCTTATTACATTGAAAGGGAAAACTACTAGTAATGGCTTGGAATGATTGGGTGCTTGGATGGCCGAGGCGACGATGCCACACGTCACCATCGGAGGTTGTGGCGGAGAGGGCAGTGCACCGTGTTGTGTTATTGCCGAAGAACGGGTAGAGATCACCGGAGCTAGCGGAGATCAGGATTACCCTCCGTGTGCGAAGATCCTTCGCAAGAAAGCCAAATGGGTAAAATTCGACGGAACAAAAATTATCTTTGATAAATTGGCGAACAGAGATGAGGCTAGTAGTGACAGAAGGGAAGAAAAGGATGTTGCGCAGTTGGAAATTGTGGGGAGGGAGGGAGGTGGAGCCAGTGGCATGAATGGGAAGGTGATGGCCATTGCCTACAACAATGCTAGAGAATTTACGCTGTAAAGAAGAATTCGAGTGGCTGAGGTGAAAGTGCAACTATCCCTAGGTGGTTTTGGTAATTCATAACAACATATAGCTCATTGAGCTAATGCTATTCCAAGATGATTATTTCAGGAAAGCTCAATGATTGGCATGGCATGGATGTGAAAGTGGAACCCTCAAAATGCTAGGACAAAGGATTGGCTCAAGCTCAAAAGCTCAAGACTCTTCAATTTATATTTTAGTGATCCAAGATCACATTGAGTCTTTAGGAAAAGCCAATACTATCAAGGAGGGATGAGGTGTTGCTTAATGAGCCTCTTGCTTCATGTGCTT